TTTTTTTTTTTTTAACATTTTATTAGGTGCTCATACAACTGTTATCCCAATCCATACACACATCAATTGTGTAAAGCGCATTTGTACATCCTTTCCCAAAACATTTTCTCTCCATTTAAACCCCCGACATTAGGTCCTCATTTTTCCCCTCCCTCCCCGCTCCCCCCTCCCTCCTTAGGAGGCTCCTATGAGGGGGCGAGGGCGGGTGTGTGACCTGGCTGATTCCATGCTCCACAGGTGGACTGCACGTTCAGCTACCTGGAAGTTCAGGCCATGGAATTACAGGAGACACCCCCTCAGGTGAGGCATCTAAGATCCAGGTTGCCTGGGTCTGCAGCCTGGAACTCCTTCCCCTCCTCCCCACCCAGCAGTCCTTTCTCCCTCCCTCCCTCCCTCCCAGGTCACCTTTGAGCTGGAGTCCCTGCCAGAGCTGACCCTCGAGTTCCCTGGGGTGGCCTCCTTAGAACAGCTGGCCAGGCACATCACCATGGCTATCAAGAAGGTCTTCCCTCACTCTGCCCTTGGGTGAGGCCTGCCAGCTGCGGGGAAGAAGGGCAGGCAGAAGGGGGGTGCTGGGCATGGCGGAGTGGGCTGTCTCCAGGTCAGGGGCTAGAGGTCCCCTGCCCCTCCTCCTTTACCCTTTCACCCCAGGAAGCTATTCCGGAGGCCCACCCCACCTTCGATGCTGGCTAAGCTGGAGAAAAGCAGTCCCTTGGAGTCCACCACACTGGGCAGCTCCTGTGGTAAAGACCAAGGCGGGGCCACTCACACCTTCTAGCCTGCCCTGCTGGGATCCCCAGGGCCCTGGAGTTGGCAGGGTGCGGCGGGAGGGGGCGGGGGCTCCCAGGGGTCATGGACGCCACCCAGTGTGAGCATGCTCTTCCTCTCTGCCTTCCTCCTCCGGGCCCATCCCCAGGTGGCTTTTTGGAGACCTATGAGGCTCTGTGTGACTACAACGGCTTCCCCTTCCGAGAGGAGATTAAGTGGGTGAGGACAGGGCCCCATGGGGGCTCCGAAGCCATCTGCTGGACCCACTCCCGCCCCATTGGGACCCCAGTGGGATCAAGTTATGCGGATCCTTTCCTCACACAGGACGTGGACACTATCTACCACCGTCAGGGCTGTCGCCATTTCAAACTAGGGGACTTCAGCCACCTCTGCAGTCGGTGCGTGGCCTGCCAAGGAGGACAGGAAGACCCCAAGACCCACCTTAGGCCTCGACCTCTTTCTTTCTCCATGGTGGGGGTGCTGGGTCTGGGATGAGCCAGGGGTCCCTGAGCTCTGCTTACTCTGCCCCCACCCAGGGACCTGGCCTTGTGCGTGGCTGCCCTGTCTTACAACCTGTGGTTCCGCTGCCTCTCCTGTGTGGACATGAAGCTGGTGAGGGCCTTGGGGCAGGAAGGGGCCCCGGGATGCTGGGCCAGGGTGCAGTGCTCTGAACCTCCATCTGACTCTCAGAGCCTTGAGGTCTTGGAGCAGATTCTGCACGTGATGAGTCAGTCATCCCACCTGGAGGAGCTGGTCCTGGAAAGCTGTGGCTTGAGAGGGTGAGGGCAGGGAATGGCGGAGGACCC